TGTTCATCAGACAGTGCAATCAGAATGATATCTCTCCAATCAGCCGCACAAGACTGATGTCCATAAAATTCAATTTATTGTTGTAAATTCAAAATAGTAGATCAAAATACAGCATGCACATCACCATGATAGCTCTCCCAGCTATGATTAAGCCTGGGTGGTGAAATGCGTGAGAGGCGCTGGAGTGGGAGAGCTATCATGGTGATGTACAATCTGTATTTTGGACTATTATATTGAATTTCCAACAATAAAGTTGGATTTTATAGACGTCGGTCTCGTGTGGCTGATTGGAGAGATATCGTTCTTTGAGTGGGAGCACACTGGAGCCTGCACCGGATGTGCATATTGATTTGCAGTCTGTTGGAATTGGAGCGGTGAGTTTTTGCCTTTTTGGATAGTGCAATCAGAATATTTGCTGGAAGGTCGCTGAGACAACATCTAATTACAGGATAGGCCTCCCAGAGATTTTGTTGTGCTAATGACTATGGTACACTAAGATGACTTATATGGTGACCATAGACAGGCAGATGGCTCATCTGGAAAGATGAAGGGTGAGACATCTGTCTTACCTTAAACAACTTATACTGAGCAATCTTCCTGACTCAGATGACAGATGGATATGACGGAAATCTACAAATGTTCCTACAATCACAAAGCCATTTGATGAAATAGAAAACAGCTCATTTAGAAAAAAGGGAAAAACACAATTTTTGTTTTAATTAATATTTGGTTTCCATGGTTAATAATTATATCTTAGCATTTACCATCTGAAGTTGCAGATAGCCTCTATTTATCCTGCCGTTCACATCCTTATACAGCTGTACGCTGCAAGAAATGGCTGTATAATATCTGTGCTGTAAATCAATGGTTCTGGATGCCCGCTTGGCCTGAAGAATGAAGGAATGATTTGCATGTCTCTGCCCACTATCATTATATTAGGAATGAACCCTTTTTCCTTGATGGGAATTTATCAAAACTGGAGAAGGCAGCCAATCAGCTTCTCTCTTTCATTTTCAAAGCGTAACTGAACAAACTAAAGAGAGAAGCTGATTGGTTCATGTGTACAACGGCCCCAGATTCTGTCTGCTTCAGTTTTGATAAATTCCCCTCCTTGTGTTTTAAGAAGGCTTTGCTGTGCTTTACCCTGATTTAGTGGAGAGCTTTTTAGTTCCCTAAATACCAGTTCCATTTTTACTAAAAAAATTAAAGTTCTCTGACACCCGTAAAAAGAAAAAAATCCCGCTTTCCCACCAATACTCACCAGTGTTGACCCTTTCCAATGTCGGTCTACTTCTGGGTGTTTGACTGCATCCTAAAAAAACAAAGTGCACAGCTCACCCCTATCATGCGTCCCCGCAATCCACACTAGGTGCACGGATGACTCTCTTCTGGAGTGATAGGATGCAAAAATGCTGAACCAGCACACAATGATCTTGCAAAGAAATTCAAACTTTATTCCACATGCATCTGTACAAAGAACAACGCGTTTCTGCCTTAGTCATAGCTGGTTGTGATCTAACACCAACCCCACTAAAATAGCACGCCATGCAGGGCGGGGAGAAACACAGAAGAGCACCTATATCTAATAAACAGTCCATGTAATTACATTAAAAACAAGGCAGAGGAAAAGATGAGAATACACACTTCAGAATTAGGGGTGAACATCATCAAAATCGAACACTACATAAAAAAAACCATAATAACAGTGGGAACACTAACATTGAAATATTATGACGATCACTAATTGCACCGACCGAGTGACCCACCGATAAGTCCCCGTAGAATCTTATATTACAAACGAATAAGAGATCCACAGAGTGTCAGCGGTTGTTCTTTGTACAGATGCATGTGGAATAAAGTTTGAATTTCTTTGGAAGATCATCGTGTGCTTGTTTGACTGCATACAGCTCGTGATTAGACAGTGAAGGAGCAGCAGAAGACTAATGAGCTCATCTTTCTCCCTCTGCTGTCTTCTCCTCTCAGCTGGTTTCATGTAAGCTTATGTGCTCTGCAGAACACCTGACTGCCCCCCAATTTGCCCCTCACTCTCCCAGTTCTACTGACAAGGGAACTGCAAGAGGCTGACACCAAGTCAAATGCATGCACTTATACTAGTAGCAATTAAAATACATTGGGTGGCTATTTAATAATTAATGGATATCAATTTTTGTACATCTGTCTTCATATTCAAGCGTTCCATAAATCAGTAAGCATGTGTCAGCATTAATAGATAAACAAAACAGCATTAACAAAGCACCTTTATTATTTCATGGTTATTGTTTTCTTCCCAAAAATAAAAAAAAACCCCATTGCTCCCCATCATACTAATATGACTATATTAAGCTGGTCATGTTTACCAAATAAAGTACAAAAAAAACTATGAAAAATTGTATTTCTGCTTTAATTAAAAACATTTTAAAAATGTCAATTTAATTAAAAAAACTTTGTTATCTTTTGCATGAACATCATATTGTAATTGTCCTTTGCCTTCTCCTACAAGATGGGCAACCGGCCAAGTGGAACATACGTGGAACAGCAATTGTATGTTTGGTGGTACAGTGCTTCTCTGAAGTACATGCACATTAGTGGTATTACAGAACAGAATGGAGATGTGTTTAGTTTCGGTGGCTCTGTCCCACCTCCAGTTTAAGACTTAAAGGAGAACTATGGGGGTCAGTGTTTTTCCCTATAGTTCTCCTTGGGGTAACGGGAGGACACAAACTAGCGTCCTCCCGTTACCCTAAGCTCAGTATACTGCGAGCTACAGCTCGCGGTATACTGAGACGCCGCACCTGGAGCGGATCCCGACTTAGATGACGGGATCCGCCCAGCTGCGTGAGTGACAGCTGGCTCTGCCTATCTAGAGGCAGAGCCAGCTGTACCCGCCCCCTCCCCCGTCCGTTCCGCCAGTCAGTGCTGGCAGATCGGAGCGGGGAGAGGGGAATCCAGCCCCTCCCCCTGTCAGGCAGAGAGCCGTGACAGGATCGAGAGGTGAGGGAACCCGGTATGTGTTCTCTCACCTCCCGATCTACTGAGCCGACCTGTGACAGTCTCATTGTCACAGGTCGGGTTAGAACTATGAGGTGAGTGGAAATCACTCATGTCATAGTTCTCCTTTAACTGGATTTTCAGTTTAAATCAACTAAATAAATTCGAGTTGTATTAAAACAGAAGGTGTGCAAAGTCTTATAGTTGGTTTTCTGTAGAAACAGCCCCATGTTGTGCAGAAGGACCCTTGCTCTCTGTGTAGAGGCAGTGGTCTCTCCACAAAGGTCTGATGCACCCTCTGCTGATTCAGAGATGGAGAGCCCCAATTATTATTATAATACAGGATTTATTTAGCGCCAACAGTTTGCGCAACGCTTTATAATATAAGGAAGACACTACAATCACAATACATTTCAAGACAATTGTATTGCCCTGCCAATCGATGGGGAACATTAGCTATGCTGATTGTGGAGCTATTGGACTGACTCTGGCTTTGGCGGGTGAAAGGAGCCATAGGGGAGATATCTGTAGTTCTGAGTGTTGGGTATTATTGATTGAACTTGTTACTTTTCTGCTATTCAGACAAAGTACTGAAGTTTTATTAGCCGTAAGGATCATAAAAAAGAACCTTTTACACAACAAACCAACCTGTAATTTATGTTGAGTAGTTCAGTTCTTCTCTTCCACTATTTAGTACATTTCTTTAACAACCAGACAATGCTTTCTATCAGTCAGGAACTTTAAAACGTCTTTTAAGTTCTTTGGAAACAATGTCCCTTAGTGTGCTTCAGAAACTGTGCATTATCTGGTGTTCTGCTTTCTCTTCCAGCAGTTATTACCCATAGCTATTCTTCCTTATAATTTTGTATAATTGTGTGTGCTTTTACTTGAGAAAGTGATCCCCTGGTGGACATTCAGCACACATCCGCTATTGTCTTGTGCTGAGATAATAGTCAGTAGCATCAGAAGTGATCTCAGTGTGACACTATCATCTAAACCCTCCTAATGTGTTCTAGCTTTAGACAACACAGAGCAGAATGACTTGGGGGAGGACATGCAAATGTTAAATAAAATTGTTGCAAATGACACAATTAGTAACAATGCCAGAATTTTAGAAAACATAGAAGATGTATATAGCAGATACATGAAGAAGCCATATTAAAGACTAAAGCTGAACTCCAGCCTTACCTTTTAGTCTTGCTCAGTTGTACTTTTCCTCTACTGATATTGCTTACTCTGATTTTCCTGTACACTGTCAGCAGCAAGTCAAATAGAGCCCACCTCATTTCCATGCTGGAGGATGTGCAGCATCATCCAATCATCCTCCCCAGCCTTAATGCCTCTGGCCCACCCCTCTCAATCATTGGATTTTGGTCCTCTCAATCATGGAGGCCCAGCTTTACAGGTGGGCATTATCGATTGGAAGTCTGCATGCAAATGCTGCCTGGCAGGAACACCCACTCCTCCAAACTAACATCCAGCCATCAAGTCATTTTAATATTTGCATAATTCCTCCCAAGATCCAGTCCACAGATCACATACCGCTGATCGCTCAGTTCACGATCCTCTCCCTGCTGAAAGCAGTGACCTACAGGCCCCCCTCCCCTCTCCGTTACTCCAGCGCTGACAGGAGGGGCGAATGCGGGAGGGGACGGACACAGCTGGCTCTGCCTCTAGAGAGCCATACCCTTTATATACTCCAGATGGATGAACTTATAACTTGTAATTGTGTTTTTCTTCGTAATTTGGGGGAGTGTTTGGCAGGATCACTGGTTAAACATGACTATAGTATTTTGTTTCATTAACTTTTTGTTGCTAAAGGAGATTTATTATTATATTATCCCAACCATTATCAGGGGCTTAATGTTGGTTAGAGTTTTACAAAAAGGAAATCTTTTAACACGATCATTTGTTCACACACTGCCAATGAACAGTGGCGATTATTCTAGGATCAATGGATTTTATGCACATTACATTTGTTTTATTATTATTTTTGTATGATTTTTTGCCAGACAGCATCTCGGCAGCTTGCCGAAGTCCTGCTCCATTCCTTAAGTGAGAATTGCTACTGGTCTCCAGTGAGAAGCCCTTCGTCTGAAACCATGAAGAGAGAAGACCACTCGCTCCCTTACCACATCATCAGTCATAAACCGCATATTCACTCAGGAGATAAGTAAGGAATTCCTCCTTTATATATTATGTAATACACATGGAAGTTAATGAAAACGTTTAACATTCTTATACATAACTTTTTTTTTATTCGTTATAGTTAAGTAAAAAAAAGTGCATTGTTAAATACATTTTTGATTAAATAAAATAAATCATATCAACCTTTTGCTTTTGAGCAAGCTAGTGGAACTACAGTTTCCTATTCAGCTCTTAAAGGATCTTCGTGTTCTCTCACTCCTTGCTCCTCTAGCACAGGCTCCCCTGATTAATATAACCGGTAGTATTTGATTGGTGGAATAAGTGCCTGTGGTAAGTTTCAGTGATGACTGGAACTCAATAGACCACGAGGTGTAGATTCCTGCAGTGCAGCAGCTGTGGTCATTGGGGTGACAGGCCGAGGTAGGACTTCAAAAACTAGACGGAGGATGCTTGAAGGTAGGTGGTAAGATGTCATATTAGCATACAGTGCAAGATTAGAAGAGCAGATTAGATTAGAAGACTGCCTGTTCCTGACCATTCAAGATCAGGAACAGGCAGTCAGAGATCCAAGAAAAGTCAGTAGATGCAAAATCCAAAGGCAGGTCAATAACAGCAAGGCAAACTGGCAATGGTATAACATTCATTGAAACATAGGTCAGGTGAAGGCCAATCAGCGCTGACCTCAGATAAGACTGAGATTTAAGTATCACATTTGGCAATTAACTTTGTCAGTTAAGAAAGAACAAAAAGGTATAGGGCAGGCTGTCATTGTCCCTTTACACCCTAATGCTAGACCATTCTGATCAGGCAAAGCTCTGACACTTGTGGGTAATATCAGAACCTGTTTGCTCCCTCCAACTTCCTACACATTCGTACTGGCCTATCAGTATGAGGAGTGACTTTACTGGCTAAACTGATCCTATTAGAGGTAAAGAGCAGGCAAGCGAGCTCCATTATTAACTGGAAGAGCTTTGCTTGATCAAAACAGTCATCTGTCCAAGCCCTTGGTTTCAGACTCCCAGCTGACCATACTTTGGAAGGACAGTCTCCACCCCGACCTCCAGAATTAACAACGGCCAATTCCTTGTCATATAAGTAGGTGTGACTGTGTTTTAGCATGTCCAAGAAGAGGCCTTATGCTGACCAAAAATGTAATAATACATGTGTTTGATATAATGCTTGTTTTGAAACGATTGGAACAGATTGGATATGTTGAGTCGACCATTCATTTTTCAGTAAAAGATCATTTAAAACCACAAAATCTGTTGCTTGCTCATTTGTTATTTCATGTATGGCCAGCACTCTTGTCTTAATTTTGGAACATACAGAATAGGAAAGTAAGATGAGCCAATATTAGTTTCATTGTTCCTAGAGGAAGAACTTTGACTCAACAGCTGCCACGTGAAAAGAATTTCCCTGAAGTCTCTGCCTGTTAGTTTGAATCATTTTCTGGATCGTTTTTTTTTTTTTGTAATAAGCACAAAATATACTTTGATGAGGATCACAGTGAATAATACACATGTGTCTTGATTGGTATTAATGATGAGGAGCCCAGTGACCGTATTAGGTGGCACATGAATCATGCATGGCTTGTTTTCCGTCACTGGTCTGTCAATGGTACACTTATTTAGACCCACAGTGTATAACCTAATTCTTTACTTGTGTGTATTTGTAGCTTGTTCTGCCCTCAGGACAATATCGAGGAGGCTCTACTGCTGCTGCTGATCAGCGAATCAATGGTAAGCTATCAAGTCACAGCTTCAACTATTATTAATGTTTTTAAAGGGAATATGTCGTTTTTTTCCAGTTGACAGATAAGTGTGTGAGTGCTTGTTTTACAGAGATTCTCCAATATGTCAGGTAAATTATTATGATCACTCGACAGTCAATCTCTTTCTATCTTAAAAAGAAGGACCCATTCCATGTGTTGTGGAACATTTGTACCCTGACCAGAGAAGGATAAAATTCACACAGTTTGACAGCATAATTGCCCATAGGTGGCCCTCTTACTTTGTGTGCTTCCAGGCGAGATATCACTTTCGAGCAGCGGATCGAATGTACTAAAACAGTTATTGGTAAAAAAGGTGAACCAGTTAAACAATTTGTATTTCATGTCTAGTCCTGAGAGGGTCACACTCTCACTGCTGGATCCTCTGTTATTCTTGAGACAAAGTGACCCTGTCATGAGAAAAGTATGGAGACTGCTATTTCTGAACCTCTTTTAAAGATAAAAGCTGTGTCTGGCTTCATAACTTTTAGGTCACAGACGCAGAACAAGCATGCTGTTGGTGAGTGCCAGAACAGTGTTAGATTTCTTTATTTCAATATTTCATTCAGGTCAGAGACTTGGAAAACACTGAAGTCACAGCATCAACAGGACAGCCAGACATTCTTAAGGAGTCCCTATACTTTTTTCATGAAAAATAGTGGCAGCCACCTACCAAACATCTCGCTCCTGAGTTCTTTACTGTGCCGGTCCACCCGGCGCCATCCAGCTTTTGCATATAGGGGATACGGCACGCATGCACCAGGACAATTTAGAAGTGAGGGCTGTGCAGATCTAGGCAGGTCCACAAGTAGAAAAACTTGGTTGTTGGCTGAAGGTGAGGATTTTCTAGGTGCACGCCACTTGGGGCAGGGATAGGCATTTGAAAGGCAACTTTTAGTTAAGGAAAGAGCAGCCAATAGAATGACTTCCTTATTATGGCCCTAATGGAAGGAAGATTGCCTAAGGAGCTCCATCTTGAGACCTTGATAATAAAGACCCCAAAATTTACAAGAAACTAGTTGGAATGTTCTTACCTCACTGGCACCCACCCAAACCGAATGATCTGATATGGATGGGCTGACCCTTTAGTGGATACATAAACCTAAAATGAAATCATTATATTGTGAGAATATGAGATACGGAGGATTCATAAAGATACATATACATGTAAAAGACTTCAGTTTGGCTTTCAATACTATCTTCCATTGACATTAATAAGGATTTTAACTGGCAAAGAAAATCCACCCTATTTCCATTATCTGTACTGGCATGAACCCATGAGACACCACCTACCTACAATTAAATACTCCCTTGTAGAGTGACAGACAGGTATGTTCACAGATTTGACCAATTTCGCTATCTCCTGGTTTCTGCAAAAGAATGAAGGTTGTAGCTGGGACCCGTGAACCTCCACCAGGCCCTGAGCTCCTGCCTAGGTCACCTTATGGATAACGTGATTTTTCAGTGGTTCATAGATCATTTGTCGGCATGACACCCTGACGACGAGCAGTCTCTATGTGTTTGCCATGACAGGCTCGCCTTAATATTAAGAAATGATGCAGGTTTACATGTTTCTATATGTGACATTTTCCTTTTCTGTTCTTGAAAGCTGCATGCATTTTCTTTGAGATTATTTTGTAGGAAACCCCTATATAAGTTGATGTAGGTAAACTGGTGTTAATGCGTATTAATGTATGTAAGAGCACATAAAACGAAGTACTAAAATTGAATTAAAATTGGATTAGTGACAGGAAGTCAGCTGTGTGTAGGAAAATGTCTCTCCCCACTATATTCCCGTTATCTTAATTCTATTACGCTCTGACAGGCTCCTGAGGCTTTTACGTTTATCCATCTATGACATTAAAAGCTCTTCCATGTGATTTTAGCTTGCAGATTTTACTGGCTCTATAAAATGCAGTAAAGGTAATTGATGTATGTCTTGATTACATAACTGATCTGGTAAGCTTGGAAATGTTAAGAAGATTTAGGTCTAGTTCAAACGAACCTAAGCTTGCAAACACTAGCCTGCAGAGCAATGTACACAGCAAGCTTTTACAAAGTGTTTTAATTTCAGATCTTAAGTTAAGTGTGAAGGCTAACATTTGCCAGTGTTCAATCTGCAGTTGAGGCCTTCACAATGCAAACAGCGCTGTGTTTCTCATCCTAAAAGCCCTGCAAAACAACCAAAATCTGTTTTTTGTTTAGCAATCCCTTGACTACTATACCTGTGCAGCTTGAGGGGTGGTCAGGTGGAAGGTTTCTGTTTCCAGCCATTGCTGGTAAATTAATTGCCAACTTCAGAACCAATCCTAACATTTTGGTACAGGCAAGGAAATGTGGCTTCCTGTGATGTCAGAGGCTGACTACATGACTCTGCAGGCACACGATGCACTGGCATGGTGTACTATATTTCAAATGCAAGAGTGTGCATGGTATGCTGACAACACTGCCATAGCAGTAAGAACGTATGGTTAGTGTTGTCACCTGCTCACAGGAAGAAGCAGGATCAACAAGTACATGCAGTCCCGGAGTTACATACATCCGACTCCTACTTACAAACGGAGGCTATTACTGTACAGCGGGGGTAGTTGCAATGCTACCACGCTCGTGCTGACGAGGAGTGTCCGCCTTTTTGGGTCTGGTTTGTAGTACTGTACGTACATTACAGGAAGTTGGCTCTTGTTAGACGTGCAGACAAGGGGTGCCCGCCTCTTCTTCTGGGTCACTGTGAGGTTTTTACTGCTGTCTGTATCATCATTAGAAAGATTTCATCTTACTTCCTGTCCTTGAGACAAAAGGAAGTGAAAGAAAATCTACCCCTAGGAAGGGAAGTTTACTCCTGTAGGAGTGATCATGGGAAAAAGGTGTCTCCACTGAAGCTTTATCACCAATCCTTGTTTCCACGACAACTCAAAATTTTCAAAATCCAATTTTCACAGGGACAGAAAGTGAGGTGAAATCTTCTGAACAGGGGCACACACAGCAAAACAAATGTTACAGAGGGTTAACCCTTCCCTATGCTATCCAAAACAACAACAACAACAAAATCTGGGCTGGAGTTACACTTAAAAAATTTACCTGTTCCAACTTACATACAAATTCAATTTAAGAACAAACCTACAGAACCTATCCTGTTCATGACCCGGGGACTGCCTGTATTTTTTAGTACTTATTAGAAAAAAACCTTACTATGGTAAATGTTACAGTCAGAAAGGGGCCGTTTAAAGGTATTTTATCGTAAATTTTTTATATGAGATAACATTCAGGGGCACTCTTGCCATTTATCACTCCTTTTTGCATTACTTCAAAAGGTTAAAAGTATTCAAAACATGGCACCGCAGTTCTCATGTAGATTGCCTGCTTTCTTTCTTCTTACATATATTGGAATGGAATTTGGTAGAGGTAAGCACCAGGATCCAAGCCTACTAACAAGGCAGAAAAGTGGGATCTCCTATGGCAGTCTCTTTCTTTGCAGTTAGCTGTATATCTCCCTCAAATGAATTGTAAGTGCCATACATGTTTTTTTGCTTGATTTTTTATTTTTTTTGTTTAAAAACACTTTAAAGATCAACTGCAGTCATTATTGTCATGGAATGTTATGGATAGAATGGGGATGAGTTAAAAGAGCAGTTAAGTCAAACTTTTTTTAGCTGTACTTCTCTTTTGGGTCACAGGAGTACATTTACTAATGTACACCTGTGATCCAAAATCAGCAGATAGCAGCCTAATGCAAGCTCCGCAGAGCCGCGCTGGAGATGGGAAGGATCCCGACAATATTCTGGCTGGGATCAGCCAGCTAAGTGACAGTTGGCTCCACCTCTCTAGAGCCAGAGCCAACTGTGCCAATACATTTGTTGCGGAGGAATTTCCTATGCTCCTTACCTCCATCTAGTGCTATAATATGCTGTGAATAAAAAAAATTAGACATGTACAGAGCTGTTCACTCTGTAAACATTTTATAAACACACCATTAGTGGCTTTTTTGTTTGCTTTTTCAGAAAGGGTTGTTCTTTTTGTGAAATTACAAAGGGGATATTATGTGGTCAGTTTGGATGCAAATGTTGCACTAGTTGCTATCACATGAGGGCATGCCGACTCATCTTATAGTTTAGAAGTCAGTATAAGTATCGCTCCAGGCACACATTAAAGAGTATCTTTACGCAAATCTTCAAAATAACAACAAAGGCACCTTCAGAAATGTTTAGTAATGACAATCTACAAACACATACTTCTAGATAATTGCCTTATTTTTATTCTTTGCATGCATTATTTTTCTTTTCCTCCCCAGTCTTCTGACAGTGGCCATTTTAACTAAGGGCGGGTTATTAGATCTCCCTTTTATTTCCAGGGATTCTGGCACATGTGACTAGGACATGTGACCATGCACATCATCTCAGGGGAGGAAAATGCCTTTCCCTGAGATCTCATGAAATTACAGATGAGATTTTCCAGCAATTCTCTGCTGATGTAACCTTCCCAGGATGCAATGCTTGGGCATGATTACGTAATTTGTGCAAAAGAGAACCAGGAAGTGGAAAACAAATTGTCAGTAAAATAAAAAATATGTTTATTTAGCTAATGAATGTAAGATGATTTCATACCGTAACATGCAGAGCTGTATGGTGATGTGTTTTTTAGTGAAAAGGGGTAAAGGTTCACTTTAAAGACACAGATCGTTGCACTCATGGCAGAGAAAAAGTCTGCTTGTGTTCTGCCCAATATGCACAGGTTCTTGCTAAGAGAATCATCACATTGGAGATACAGTATATTTGTAAGTACATATGTTTGCCAAGCAGAAATAGTGCAGTTGGTAATGCTTGAACATTCTTTTGTGACCAGTAACAGACTGCCAAATGTCTCTGTTGTGATGTTTCGTTCTAGCAAAGTTCATGTTTGCACGGAACAGACATATTAAACAAATGCAGCTTTTCCACGCTCACTAACTGATTATATGCACTTAGCTCCTCCATT